CCACACATCTGGAAAAGCACCAGACAGCTGCTTCCACCTTCTGTGTCTCGTCAGTGGTGCGCGTTTCCCGGTCCCCTGCCGGGTTCCGACCCCATGACTTCCGGATGCCAGCAGCTTGTGCCACTGAGCCACGAGTGATAGCGGTGGACCTGCATAACTGACAGTTGACCACAGTATAGCGCAGCTCATCCTCCTTTGCCACGCCAGTTACGAACTGTGCAGATGACAGTGTTTGGCCCCAGAGCAACGACTTTCCGTATAGCGACTGTGTACGAGACAGCACCTAGAAGCTATACAGAGATTGATTATAGTACTGATGGATAGTGTGGAATTGGTGCACGCCCGAGCTAAGCGCGTAAATCACTCGGATAATATTTACATATTTACAGTAGCAAACGTTTCATATCACGCTGAGCGATCAAACTGATGGAGATGGTATGATCTCTCTCTTTCTCTCATGATAGACATGTTACAGCACAGCTTCCCACTAGTTACCTTCGGCTTTTGTATCAATCGAGACTTTTATGGCATACAGCCAAAAAGATGGCTGTGAAGGTGGCACCAATGCGTTATTTTTGAACGTTATCTGTCCAACCTATCATGGTTACAGCAAGTGTGCATATCCAGTCTTCTAATTGGAAGGGGGAGAAACACAAGCCACAATCCGATGGTACACTCGTTGGTTAAAAAAACGCCTGCTATTTAGCTCTCACAAAGGTAGTTTACTATATTTTGATGCTTATACAACTTCAGAATAAACATTTTGCTTCTGTTGTAACGCTGCCCTGCCTCTGCTCTCTGCCTGGGACGCCGCCAACCCAGCCGGAAAAAATACAGAAGAGCAGACTTGCTAGACCGGTGTGGATTACGGAGAGAATATGATTAACCTTATAGGTCACTTGCGCTGACCTCCGACTGTGCGTTGCTAGGCAGATAGACATCACTTGCCTAGACAAGTTCAAACAGGCTAGCGATCTTACTGTCCGGCTGTAGCCACATTCACGCCTGCGCCGTAGCAACTCGCACGACGATGAAGAAACTGACACCATCAGCTACCGCGGATCGCGCAGCAAGCTGTGCTGTGGCTGACGAACTGAGTCAGCGAGATCTACTGTAGGCCCAACACGTGTCGCGAAACTGTGTTAAGCAGTTCATCCGTTGCGGCCGCCAAATACCTCCATTTTCGAATTGAGTCTGCCTGCGTACCGCTAGAACACGACTTATTCATGGATTTTCGTCTTGGGGTCAACTTATAGCCATTATGGTCATCACCACTTTCGGGTCAGCCTGCATTGTGCGTCATATGTTGCTTGTAACTTGTCGTGATCCACGTAGCCGCTCACTCTCGCATTCCAAGTCAAACGTGTCTCATGGCCGCTGACTAGCCGAACAACCTCCCGGTGGTGCCAGCTGGGCGGTTCATGTTAATCCCGTTCCAGAGAATAGTTCGGCGGCAGCGTTCCAGGAAGTGATGAGTTTTCGCTTGAAAAGCCGCAAAGGTCCGTTTAACAACACTGCGACGTGGCGGATGTGACTCACCACTAAATAAAGTCACTGCCACTTTCCTTTCCGGAGGATTTTTCCCACTTCAAGTACGTCATCCAATCCAAAGATTTCCTTTGATCGCTTCGTACGATGGCGAACAGAGCCAATAACATTACAAATCCAGTCACATTAATTGATGCACTCACTATGTCCACTTACATTTATACATACACACAGATCCAGTATGTTACTGGCTAACTTAAGACAGACCGTATGTGCTTCTATTAGCATGATCATACTTTCGCAGGCGTGCCTCGCAATGATGACAATAAAAATTATCTATTTTCCGTGATTTGGCCTCAGCTGATTAGCGTGCCTGACTTGTTGTCATTGCTAACCATTAGCTCGTAGATGACTCGACCATTTCTGCTGATCACCGGTCCAGTAGGCCACCTCCTCGGTCCTGGGAAGTTCCATGCGTACACCAAGTTAGCAATTTTAAAATGACGGATGTCGGATTTTCCTCCATAGGACAACCGCAGTGCTTTTCTTTCTTTGCGTTCTGCACAGGGCGCGTTCGTCTGAATGCTGGTTCAGCGCCTGACTTAAGATTCAGGGAAGAACTGGTCATTCTGTAGCATCCGAGACCAGGTTGGAGGATTGCTTCATAGCGCCTTTTCATCTCCGTGATCTGCGATGATGTCGATGGCTGCGATAGCTGGCTGATTTGCGGTTACTGGCATACACTGTTTACTGGCTGACCAAGTGATTGCAACTTCTCCATCTAGTCGAGTCCCAACAAATCTAACTCCGGTCAGTCTGTCACAAAACACGTTGTGTAAATTTTTTCACCCCGGAAATTGACTTGGTTGAATTCACTAAGCAATTTAGCTAATTTTCTGAAGCATTCCATGCGGTATGCGCTGTTTGTACGGGTGTCGGCCGCCCAGCCTGCGCTACATGTCGCTAGAGATCAGATGGATATCTGAAGCACTATCAAGTCGTAATTCCACTTGCATGCCATTGATTTCCACCATCGTATACTTACGCCTGTTAATCTTATCAACTTTGAAAGTTGCGGTGATCGGTCTGATCCGATTAGACCAAGTGAACGATATGGCGTTGTTGCGCCTCATCCTTATCAAAGTAGGCCCACTTGCCAAGCAACACGACACTTTATGACATCTGCTGCATCGACTGCAAACGTGGCTCTTAGATAGACAGTATGGAGCAGCATGTCATTCCCTACAAAACCAACAAGCAGAGGGAGATTTAGAATGTGATGGACTCATGTGAGTTGCTGCTTTCTGCATACTTCGACTGACTGCACAAATAAGGTCATGCTCGTTCGCATTAGATAACTTCTGCATTGTGATGTCAGGATTCTGTTCAATCTTGCTCATTATTCCTGTTCGAATATCTGTATCTCTGGTTGCTCGTAGGCCGCAAACATATATGAGACATTTGTAATGATTGCCCGTCACCTTATGTAAGTTTAATCGTTGGCACTTGCGATTCCAACGGCTTGAATAGTTGACGCAGTCCTCATCTTCCTTCTTAGTCATTGTCAGACACTTGAATCAAATGGGGAACAGCGATGCCTATTCCGCGAAAGTTTGTGTGAGGACTGCAACCACTTCATTAAACGACAGGTCATTGGAATGAAATTTGCAAACTTTTTTACGTTCAGCAGCATCCAGCTTCTGAAGCATAAAGCGACTTTATTTTCCTCTGAGACGTTGACCAAATCGACTGGGAACAAACCTTCACACTTGTGAATCCAGCAAGCGAACGTTACATCGGCATCAGCATCATAATGGAATTCTCTGATTTTCTAAGTCAGGGAAAGGTGACACTTTCACTTGACCCTAACCCTAAGCTTGACTGTATCGACAGCTTCTGCATCAGCATCTCAATGAGCTTGGCCGGCGATTTTTCAAACTGTGCTTGCTGCCGATGCAAGAGTGTCTGTAGTTGTTCGAAACTGACTTCCATTTGTGGGCTCGGTTGAAAGTCTCCGTTGCCACTGTACTGTTGTAACCCTGCTCTGCTTCTGCTTTCTGCCTGGGGCGCTGCCAACCCAGCCGGAATAAAAACAGAAAAAGAGACTTGTTAAACCAGGACAGAGCATGGTTAACCACACGCACGCGCAAACCACTGTTGTGCGTCGTTGGGTGGATTGGTGTCACTTGTCTAGACAGGTTCAAACAGAGCAAAGATCTCACTGTCTGGTTGTAGCCAAGTTCACGTCTGCGCCGTAGCAACCCGCAGGACGATAAGGAACTGGCCCCATCAGCTGCCACGAATCGCGCAACAAGCTGTGTCGTGGCTGAGGGACTGAGTCAGCCAACTTTCCGCGAGATCTACTGCAGGCCCAACTCGTGTCGCGGCCACCTAATAGCCTCCTCCTATCCTGAACACATTCATCTTAAGTAACGACCGCCGTTTCATTCCTCCGCTTATGGTTGCCCAATAATTGGCAAGCAGTCGACTAACTTGTATCTGCTTTATACGACGACTTTTGCGATGCACTGATGTCGCACTTCATTATTATGATAGCACTATTTCGTGGGATATGTTTCCAGTAACCGCTTGTGGTCAACTACGCCATGATTTGCTGTTGAGAAACGTCGATTCTTGATTTTTGTGTATATGCGCATTTGATTGTTGATTGTTTTAATTGCTCCGGTTCGTCTTCTCTCTATCCATGCCAACTCCGCACTACTTCATGGGAAGTTTTAACTCGCGTTACTTGTAAAGGTTTTCCCTAATTTGTCCCTAGTGAAATTCCATCTGCATACGTTAATTGTTCTTGTGATTATGCTGATGATGCCCACGTCACTCCATCGTGAGTGCCTGCGGTAGCTGTGACAACGCACGAAGTGGATGGGGAATCGGCGGGTCATCGAAACGGGGTCTACCGGAAGCGTGCGTGCGTGCGTACGTGTGACTTCACACGTGCAAATTAATGGAATAACCATGCCATGGGCCTGGTGCACGAGGGCAGGTAACAGCGCCAGCCAAAGTGACGATGTGAGGAGAAAATGTGTCCGAGTTCAATCGTTCCCCTTTGGTAATACGATCGAAAGAAGTCAAGCGCGGATGGAAATGGTGGTGTAAAGAGCAGCATCTTGCAATGAACACGGAATCCTGATAGATGTGTACAAACGCGGAACGCGACTGACCATCGCCTGACAAATAAGATGGTATCGGCCTCAGCCACATTTCACTGCTCCACTCTACAAGCAAGTTTATGTGAGGTACAACTGCTCAACACTGCAAAGCTACATGGGTAGTGTGAGAATCCGGTGAGGATAGCAATGCCATTGATTTCCACTATGTGCTTGACATGTTGCGTTGGTCCCGTCACACAGGCGAAACTGATCGAGGGTTCCAGACAATCGGAGTAAAATCATCCCTGTTGTTCATTTGTTTAGTGGCAAGAAGTAACTCAATTCATTTGATTTAAAAAATCCAGCCCAACCGAACAGTAGTAAATAAGTACTGGATCTTACCTGCATGAAAACTTTACCAAGGATAGCATCTCCAGGATCTTTGAAAAGCGTACTGAAAATGACCGTGACACGATCCGGTTGGGCTTGAATGTATCTGAAATCGATGGACCACAGAGAGAAGTTAGTGATAAGAACTGACTACTGACGCTGATGCCACAATACAAGCCAGAACAACTACGACGACGAATGCTGACGCTACTACTAACGACAATAATTAGAATAAAAACAGTAATATTGAGATGGATAGTTCGAACACAGATCTAGATCGGCGTGGTGCAAACATACTGTAGAAGAAACGTGCGACAGGGACGCAACCAGAGGTAGTGACACGCACAGCTGGCATGTGACCGAAAGCGAGAAGGGTTTGCCTTGGAACCGAGATGTCACCCGCGTAAGGGACCAGGCGACTCTCGCAAATATCCTTGGCCCACGCGCAACTGGTGGTGGTTGCGTGGCAGCAGAGCGCCGGTAGGGCGTATTGCTGATGCTTTTTAGTGATACACAGAACGACGGGTTCAGGTAAGGCGAGCAGACGCTACTCATGGTATAAAGTGAGGGGTAAGAGCTTGCACACAAGACACGTACAATATCATAGCTGGCTAAGGGGTGATCTAGCAAGACATGTGTGGTTCGTTCATAGCCCGTCGGTGTGGCCGGCAGATTAGAATCGAGGCGGTATGCATAAAAGATTTCATTAAGCAGAAAAGATGAGGGATAAGGCCATAACGGTACAAACTGAAACTTTACGTAAGGTGCGAAACGGCGTTACGCAAATGAGTTGTGTAGTCCATTACAAACATAAGAGAATTGGAGCCGGACTCCGTAAAAAGTGGTGTGGGGAATGGAGGTGCAAGAGGACAGTCTGACAGCATCAAGTTTGGTGCAATGAAAGATAACATTTTAAAACTAATCGTACAAATAAGTCAACGCTTCTAATGAGGTGCCATAAGCGCACAAACAACTGGATCGAGTTGCAGGCCGAACAATAAAGCGTTTCAGACGTTTGGCTTGTAACCGAAGGGATACCGATTCGTGTGCGTGGGTGAGGGAGACCTACAAGTATCCCTAAGGCCCACGAGACTGCTGGTGATCGCGTGGAAATCGGGTTCCTATTTGCTACCGATAACTTCTACTCCGACCGACAAATTCAGTTAAATTCCGTTAATTAGGTAAAGGCTCTCGGTTTCAACAGGGGATGGTGATTGGTTTCGTCGGCAACCCCCAAAATCGTGCCATTCATAAGACACTACACTCGTTGTCTCGACAAGTGCTATGAATTTCGCGTGTTAAATGTGATACGGTTGAGCGTCTTGTTCCAGCTACAGGTGCTAAGCACTCCAATTGTCGAACGCGGATATCAGTGCTCTTTTATGGTTTAATATGCCAAACTACCACGCCGGAGTCTAGTTTTATGATTTTCCTTGTGAAGAGCAATTCTTCGGAACACGAGTGGCGAAGCGAAGCTAACTTCCCCTGGGTTTGTCGTGGCCGCATGTACTGCAAGTTTGTGTCTAGTGGACTGAATCGCACTGACCCCTATAGAATCAGTCACTACTTGCGTCTGATCACAATTGATCGACAGTGTGTAGCGCGGTGTGGTAGGATAGGCGATATACATCAGTGATGTCCCAAGCCCAAGTTCGTCAGGCCAGTATCGGAAGAAAAGTATGCTGACAAAGTCACGGGTGATAGAGCCAATCATCTGTTGCTGAGTAGCAAAGGTTAGGTGTAATGGACAGCAGTAACGTGTAATGTATCGAATGAGTAAGCTTTCTAATCAGAATAACAAGGGTGTCACAGACAGTAGAAGAGTAAGTAGCTATGTTGATTTTGAGTAAGAAACGCAAAGCATCGGACTCAGAAAAACGAGTAGAGCGCATAGTAGCTTGACCTCTGTACCTCGTAGCCACATATCAAAAAGAATAAAGAAGGGTAAGCAAAAGGATCGAGTATCAGGCATTACTGTTATATTATATAAAATGAGGTCTTCGATAGCCTAAACAAGTGAACCGAGAGGATTCATCTCGGTAATCACGAAGCAATAAACAAGCTCGAACAAAGCGATCACACCCAATTGTCTTAATGCTGCCATCGAAAGTAACCAAAAGCCTTACCATCTCCAACGCGAGGAAGCCGGACCTTACCACAGTGCAATGGTCGAGGCGTCTCGATGAGTCAAATACCTTCACAGTCACTTATATCAGATAGATTATTAGTCAGGGGCAAAAAATATCCAATCTCTCTCAAAGTCTACATGAGATATTGGAAAGGTCGATAGCTATCCCCAAAATTAAGCATTATAATCTCAGTTCGTGTAGCGCAGAGCACAAGCGAGGTATTCCGGCTGGAAACGAAGAAAATGAGACTCGAAAAAATCTCAAGACAAAACTGCGTGCTAACCTGAAAAGAGACCGCGAAGCCTTGTTGTTTTATAGTGCATTGAAAATGGAAACAGTCGCTGCCGTTGGTAATCATCGTGTTTTCCCGTCTGATAGGGGAAACAGGCAGCAGGAGTCTTGGTGATAGCGAGACCATACGCGATGGGAGTGGACAGTCAATTCACAGCCTGTCAAAACACTTGGAGTGTTGGGCCGAACACTTTGCAAGGCAGTTTAACCCATCTGTTATCGCTCTCTTTTGAGGGCACTGAGTGCGCTTCTCACTTGGTCGTCTCCTTGAACATGAGATAAGACTGTTAAAATTGCATAAGGCTGCGGAAACAGGTAGAATTCCTCCAGCCCTCTTCAAACTGGAAGGGTCTGCTCTTATGGATGATTTACAGGAGTTGCTACTGGAACTTTGAAAGTAGGAAACTGTCCCGACAGACTGGAGGCACTACGTCACAGTCCCAGTTTTCAATGGAGGCTCTCGTTCGGTATGTAGTGATCATAGAGGGATCATTTGCCTCTAAATTGTTTACATCTATCGTTCTCCACGAACTGACTGACGCTTGTGAAGCCAGATTCGTAAAGAGCAAGCCGGGTTTAACCGAGGTTGGGGCTTTATCGACCACACCTTCACCTTGCGTCAATTGTTAGATCACCAACACATTTGTTGGCGATCCACCGTTGTGTTTCTCGACATAAGAGGTGCCTGCGATTCGGTGGATTGACGTGCCCTTTGGCGCTGTCTGCTGAGGAAAGGTGCGGTCAATAAATACGTAAACATTATCAGAGCGCTGCACGCGCATAGTTCGAGCAGAATGTGAGCTTGTGGCAGACTGTCCCCACCCTTCAATATCTCCAGCGGTATGAGACAAGGTTGTCCGCTGTCACCTTTTCTCTTTAACGTCGGTATTGACAGTCATAGAAACAGCGTTCGCTGAACACGACTTAGAATGTGTGGATCTACTTCCTGGTGATCGACTTCTTGACTTGCAGTATGCGGACGATATTGCCCTACTCTGTGTCAGCTCCCAAACGTGTCAAGCAGCACTGGCTGTCAATCGTTTGTGGGCTATAGTTTACTCCATCAAAAATGCAAAATTCTTCTCCAATATTGGCAGGGACCCACTCCTGCACTGACCCTTGGTGGGGAACAACTTGAAGTCACTCAGGAATTCAGGTACTTGGGCAGGTATATTAGTGCCAATGGGGTCGAAAATGAGGTTATGAACCGCATAGCAAAGGCTCGAGGTGGTTTTGGTAATCTCCGCCACCCGTGGCGCAGACGTGACATTACTCTCCCCCTGAAGAGCAGAGTTTATAACGCAGCGGTCCGTTCAACTATCCTATATGGTTGTGAAACCTGGCCCGTCAGGTCGACAGACATAAAGAGGCTCGTCACATTCGATCATCGCTGCCTTCGTAGCTTAGTTCATGTCTGGTGGGAGCACCGCGTGAGTAATGAGCGTGTTCGGCGTCGCGCATTTGGTGCAGGAAGAGCGATTGATTCGCTCAGCACCATTATATCACGCACCAGGCTACGATGGCTGGGCCACGTGTTGCGCATGCAAGCACAGCGACTCCCGCGACGTGCATTGTTTGCACGCCGGTGGTGCGGTTGGAGGAGGAGGGGAGGCCAAGCGATTACTTGGTCGAAAGAAATGAAAAACCCTAGCTTCACAGCTGACGTCGGTTGGTGTATGCCGACTGCCTGGCTGGGGTCTTAAGGACGATGAACACGCTTGATTGGACACACTTGCTGACATGGCAGAGAGCCGGCCTCAATGGCGTTTGTGTTGTGAGGTTCTTTGTCCACCCCCTCCCTTTGAGATTCCCCCACCAATTCAGATCTCATACGAAATGCATAATAAAATATTTAACATTATATTACTTGCTTTAGATATTTTTGTACTGTAGATTTTAGTATATTATATTTGTGTATTGCGGCAGATTATCTGAGCTATCTCGGTATTGCTGCATCTAAAATCACTCAGGTAGTAAGACCCGTTATGTTGCAGTGCGCTCGATATAGTTTATATCCACAAAATGTTTGTCAAGGAATTTCTTAAATTACAACCCCGACTTTGCCTCAACTACGTGCTGCGACAGGTTGTTCCATAAATTCGCCACTCTCCATTTGAAACAGAGTTGGTTGGTAAGCCGCTTCAAATCCAGTGCTACAAGCTTGTACCGATATCTTCGTGTGTTGCTTGGTGTGCGCAGATGCAGCAGTAGCTTCAAGATGGGGTACTCACCGAGATATAATATCCGGTGAGTCATGATGAGATCAACCCGCATTCGACGATAAACTAGGGTGCACAGCCCTAGTTTCTTACATCGGTCTTCGTACGGCACACCTCGTAAGTTGGGAATCAGCCTGGGGGCTACATACTGCACCCGCTCAATCTTATCTACCTCGCCCCGGGTGATAGGACAATACGCGGGAGAGCCATACTCTATCACTGGTCGTATAATTGAGACGAAGAGGCGAGTGGCAATCTCTTCTGACCGACTGCTGAAGCTGCGCCTGAGCGCCCAAAGCATACGAAAGCTGTTTTGGTAAAGCCTATTCGTGTTGTCCATGGACTTTAGGTCGTAGCGTGAGAGTACACCGAGGTCACGCGTGAAAGGCGCGGGATGCAACGGTTGACCGGGCACCGTGTAGGTTCGACTGTGCTCACACTTACCCAGCCTCATGAATTGCGACTTG